ACAATGCCCTATAACAAGGTCCTGAGGGGAGAAGTTGAAACAGTTTCAACAAGACTTGAGGTGTCTGAAGATATTCTCTTTCATGCAAATCAAATTACAAGCCCAACTATGCCCAACTTCATAAAGAGTCAAGCTTTCTACAACTGCTTGAAGTTGAGAAGTTTAAAAAATCAACTGTTCTGGCCAGGAATTCTGTCAAACGTCCTCCAGAGTTTTTGGGCTAGAAAAAGCAACTGATCTGCTCATTCTTTAAGCAGGGATCCTTTTGACAACTCAGATTCAACTTTTGGTGGTAGAAGATTGTCAAGAGACACTGTATGGCTTTAAAAGCTTTTACAGACACTGCCCACACATTTTCAAGCCTATGTTTGCAATCATAACAAGCCTGACATTTGCTAGAGATTTGTGCAGGATGAATGCATGAAGTGCTGTTACCAATCTCCCACAACACAGAGGTTACCCTGCTAGGTGCAATGCTTAGTGTATGTTTATTTTCCTCCAGCTAAATCCATTGCCATGACTCCAATCTTTCAAAATCATTGTTTTCCAAAAGGCAGGAAATGTTTTAGAAGCAAGCATGCTTAGGCTATATCAAGAAGCTTCAGATAACTATAAAATATTTGGAATAACACAAATTAATACATGCAAAACAGCTGTATCTCCCAAAACTGAGTTTAAGAGGAGCCTAAACAAAATATTACCAACAGAATGTTGAGAGTTTTCCAGGCAGTCATGACTTGTATCAGAACACCCCACCCCATTCCCTAATAAAATAAGCTATGTGGCTGTCATAATTCACCACCTAAATTTGTTGTTGACATAAGGGTTGAAACTGTTCAATGAAGAAACTATCAATAACAGACACTAATACACAAAAATTCTACTGGGATTTCCTTGGCCAACAATGACTACCTGTAGTAACCACTGCTTTGAATAACAGTAAGGATAGATCCTAATTTTTTTCCAGTTCAAAGTAGCTTGCAGCTGGGAATGTTGTAACAATATGCATATTGCTCTATTGTGGAATGTTTTACAACATGTGGGAGCTGGTTTATACATACAATGCTCCTACCTATGAACAGCCTTAATCTGACAAATTCATTAATGAGCCATGCTCAATCAAAACATAATTTGTGAAACCTGGCATCTCCAAAGAAAACAATTTCTGCTACTGACATGATTCACAAGGCAGCTGCATTTCTCACACACATTGCCCATCACACACATAATCTTCAGAAGCAGTTCTTATCGGTAGGGAGAGCTTTATTGAAAAAACTAAGATGTGCAATTTCTTGCCTAGTAGATGGCCATTTTTTTGCTCATGCTAATTTAGCATCTTGTTTGTTTCTTTCCAAGGCTATGTAATCTCCATATCTATTGGGTTAAGGAAAACAGGAAATTTCTAAGGCAGACCCAGAAGAAGGACTTTTCAATCAGATTGCTTTGTTCTGTCCTGGGATTTAGATGATACTTACCTTATCTAGAAATTGATTTCCTACATTTCTTGTGCTGCTCCTCCACCGGGGTCAACTCATGATTTAAAACCATACAACACATCATAAAAATGGATTGTTTTAAAATATAGTAAAAAAAAAAAAGCAACCTTTTGAAATGAAACCAGTACTATGAGGGAGAAAGCTAGCCACAATAGTGAAGGGTTCAAAACAAAAGATAGAAAGAGGAAAGAGAGAGAGAGAAGGGAAAAGAGAAGAGATTTTAGTGGGAAAGCATACTGTAATATTGATGTAATTTTTCAACCTCCAATTTCCAAACCTTAAGGGTGGTCAAAAGTTGTGACATGCCTTGGGGATTATAAAGATATTTTGGTTACTTTAATATAATTTAGATGTGCTTGATAAGTAACTACATCAATATAACTTTTTAACATTTAGTTTGTTTCATTTATAACATTGAGGTAGTCATGAAGGAGGTACTGTTCTGTAAAGTTATTTCTTACCCTGTAGCTGAAGAATTTCCCTAGAGTTTTTGGTGCCATCTTTTATTCTTTGAAGCAGACCTCACTGACTGTCCTACTTTTTCATTAGCTACTTTTTTTTGGCTGAGAGTAAAGACACACACATTCACATACATGAGCATTCCCCCCCCCCCTTTACTGCCTCAAGAGTATGTTTGCTGCCAGTAAATAGATTACGCTGATTATCTGGACAAAGATTTTATTTCATTCAATTATTTTATATTAGAGGCATCCGATCTGGACTGTAAAATCTGAATAGACCACTAGAAGGCACCAAACAGTTTTTTGTATCTCTTTATTGTTATCCAATAGTCATCCAACATGTTGCACTCCAGATTTTGTAGCCATAATTTACAACACAATATATTCATCCATAACGTGTTTTATTTAGTTTAGCTTAATCTGCAGTGCGAATTCCATATTGCACATTATATGGGGACCCGCTGTGACTTATTCAACAATCAACAAGGCTTAATGCAATGTTGTCAAACTTCCTCAACTTGGTACTTTCCAACTGGGCCAAGAATTTTGGAAATTTTAGTCTCTAAACATTTTAGATCTCCAATTAGGGGGAAAATTGCAATATGTAATTGGTAAGCCAGTGGCCCCCAACCTTTTGGGCATCAGAGACCAGTTCTGTGGAGGCAGGTTTTTCCTTAGACCGAATGGGGCATAGTTTCACATGCTGCCTGTATCTCATAGATGGGACATGGCCCTGTGCTGGTCCACGGACCGGGGGCTGGGGGACCCTGCTCTAAGATATATATTAAATTTAATATATATTTAAGTCACACCAGCATATCCCAAACTAGTGAATTAAGTGAGGTAATCATTTTTCCTACTACAAATTTGCCAAAATCAAAGAATTTTATATTTGTTTACATGAATACATTTTTTAAAAACCCAATTGTTCTTTAAATGCTTGTAGTACCTACAAAGTCTTGCTATTTCAGAAATATTTGTGTTTCATCATTTGTTCTTCCCAATGTCTATTTATCTAAACAAAATATAATTTTGCAAATAATAACAATAGTATCTATTCTTTATTAATTTTTACTAATTCATGTTAATGTTTGCCATGCCAGAAGTATTTATTTTAAGTTTATTGCTGAAGTTTGAATATTCATCCATATATTATGTTCTTAAGTTACTAACATTTATCACTTTAGCAAATAATTGTATAAGAAATGGGGACATAATTATTTGCAAATTCTTGTACCAAACACAAGTACCTGCATTCACACGTAAAGCTGGACTAGGATGTTAACTATGGTTGTTTAACAAATCATAATAGCTTGGCTTCCTGCTAAGCTATAATGTGTGAGTTCACCAAAATGATAAGCTAAATAAAATGAAATCACATATAGCTTGATGAGAAATATGAATCCAAATACCAATTCATGAAAGAGCCAGAACCAGCTTTTTTCAGTGGCAAAAATGGATGTATAAAGAGAAAATAGGCTTGCTTCATCCCTCAGTGAAGAAGTGGCAATCAGACAGGAGTCATGTTGTACAAAATCTTTGCCAGGATTTAATTTGAAGGTTTAGTTACCAAATCTGGCCTCAATAAATATCAAGAACTACCAGAGTAACATAGTCCTTTCTTCCATTCTGAGGCATCAACCACAATCACCTTCAGTAATCTACATCTCCAGGTCAACAGGAACAACTTCCAGGCTTGTTCGCCTGTGACATTTTTCATTACAGGAATGATGGTTTGATGCTTTGACAAACAGCTCACTTTTTGAAGCACATTCTTCTCCACAAGAACAGTAGAGAGGAAATACTTAGCAACACAGCATTCCACTGGCATGCATTGCAAATGGGAAAAATCAGCAGGAAACAGCCTCTAAAATTTATAAAGCCATCATATATAATCCCCTATATTAGATATAGGCAACTTGATACTTTTGGACTGGAACTCCCCAAAACTCCATCCACCAAGAGTATAACAATGAGAGATATTTGGGTAGTTGTTGCAGTCCAAAATGGAGGACACTATACTGCCTTCCTTGGCTTGTACACACTAAGTACTTTTAGTCAGCTCAAAACATCCCACATGTTTGCAATTAACTCATTTTCAATATCCATTAATGTCACCAACATTGTCTTGCCTTCCTGAAACATGCATTTAGCTGCATCCAAATAGCAACAATAAAACACAAGGGTTTTTTTTCCTAGCCTGTGCACACATAAATCACTTTTCATCTGCCACTAGCACAGGTGGAGCCTTTTCAAAAGGGGCAGATCAATAGAATAGAATAGAATTCTTTATTGGCCAAGTGTGATTGGACACACAAGGAATTTGTCTTAGTGCATACACTCTCAGTAACAGTAACAAAAATAGGGGGAGGGGGGGAATCTCTTATGTTGCAGTTGCTTCTAAGCCTCTCAGCAGAATGCACAAAATGCCATTGAAAAAGAGAGCAACACACACCCCTTAAGATAGAAGAATAGAGAGGCCAAGCTTTGCTTAGCAGCAGGGCAGCTCCGCACAAATCCAACTCCAGAAACCAAGATGCGCGGCAAAACTTTACTTAGGTAGATCTCGCTGGTCCAAACCCTTCCATCAGTTAAGAGGCTTTTTAATGTTGCTTGCTTCTCTCGCATCCAAGTTTCGGGTGCATTTTTCTTTTTGTTTCGACTACGTTTGGGAAATCCAACTGTACATACAAAGACGTGTTAAGTATCTTCTACACACGCATACACAACTCAAAGCATCCGAATAGGCACCCTCGATTCTCCGCGCAACGAAAGCCATAGTCACCCACGCAGCAATCAGATATCTGGGCTGTACGATCCTCTGGTACAAAGAAAAACGCAGGCTGCTCTACTTGTATGTTGTTTTGCGCGCGCGCACATACACACATACACTAGACTAGCACACTTTTTTTTTGAAATGCCTCGTGGAATCCAGATAAATCCTCTACGGCAGGCAATGCGTAGCAAATATTTCCAGGCGTCCCGAGGATTCTTACATATACATACATTTATACATACATACATACATACACACACAACCTACCTAATTTGCAATTGCAAGCTGCGCCTTCTTCACCCTGCGTCTTCTTTTAATATCCCCAGAATTTCCCCGCAGACCTAACCAAGGGCTCTTTGTGTACCTTCATCGCTCCTTGCCCGAACTAAAAAGCGGAGAAGGAAAGCAAAGTTTTCCGGCGAGATTAACCCTCACCCCCACCCCAGTCAAGGGGATCAGCCCCAGAGATCTGCCTCTAGACCGCAAACCCCACCTTTCGGAGTCAACCCACCGCGGCTCCGATCTCCGTCTCTTGCCTCACCTCCGGGCGCTTCTCCGACTCTCCTTTTCCTTTTCTCCGGCACCGCCGCTATCCAGGCTAGGAGTAGCAATATCCACTCAAGAGGCTGCCGAGAGACACCGTCTCCATCCAATGCACGATCATGATCTCCGTGTGTAGCGATGCATGTACGGGAGAGGCTGCACTTTGGGGTTTCGGCGGAGGATCCGTTCTTTCAGCCCGGATACTCCTGGTTTACCAAGGTCCTGAGGACGAAGCGGGATGGGGTGTATGTGTGTGTGGGGGGGGAGGGGGGTCTCCTACTTGCTCAACAGAAGAAACAGCCGGGGCAGAAAAGGAGATTGATGATGGTGTGAGGAGGTGGGAATCGAAGGGAGAAAGCCAGCGAACGAGAGGTTTGCGCAGGCGCAGGCCGGAGGACAGTCAGCGTGCGCGGTAGCCCCCTCGTGCTGCTTCCCACCTCCTGGGTCCTTCAAGCAGAACCAGTTGCCCTATAGGCGAAGGGGGCGTGGCGGGCTGTGCGGCGCCCTGGCGGTGGGGGGGAGGGGTTCTTTTTTCTGTCCACGCGCGCCCTCCGCATTCTGCCCGTCTCCTTTAGCATGGCTTAGTGTCGCCTGGGTGGCTTCCCGCCTCTCTTTTTCTGGAAAGCGAAGTGCTGTTTCCCCTCACCGACCTCCGGGGTTGTCCCTGCCTTGCCCAGTCTCGCTTACCATGTGGGCGTCCTTTTCCTGCGTGTAGCCCGGGTTCTACTTAAGAGTGCTTGCTGAGGGAGAGGGAAAGAGGAAAGGATGGGATGGGGTGGGGAATTATGTGTAAGTGAGGACGAAGAGGAGGTTCCTGCTTCGCTGCAGTTTATAAGCGCGTAGTTAAATCTTCCTGCTGCAGTTAAATTTCTAGCTGCATGTGCTGTGGTACAGCATCATCTCTTACTATTTCCACAAAAGTGTTCCTAGAGGGATAGAATAAAGACCACAAGAAGTGCTAGTACCGCTTTATAAGACCTTAATAAAAATACACCTGGAATATTGCACCCAGTTTTGGTCACCACTATACGGGTATTAAAAAAAAATGTCGAGACTATGGAAAGAGTAGAGAAGAACAACAAAGATGATTGGGGGGCTGGAGGCTAAAACATAATGAACGGTTGCAGGAATTAGGTATCTAGTATAATGAGAAAAAAAAGGACTAGGGGTGACATGATAGCAATGTTCCAATATTTGAGGGACTGCCATAAAGAAGAGGTAGTCAACCTATTTTCCAAAGCACCAGAAGGCAAGACCAGAAACCATAGATGGAAACTAATCAAGGAGAGAAGCAACCTAAAACTAAGGAGAAACTTGCTAAGAGTTGGAACTATTTACCAGTGGAAGGATTTGCCTTTAGAAGTTTTGGGTGCTCCATCACTGGAGGCTTTTAAGAAGAGACTGGGCAGCCATTTCTATGAAATGGTACAGGGTCTTCTGCTTGAGTAGGGGGTTGGACTAGATAGAAGACCTCCAGGATCCATTCCAGCTATGTTATTCTATCTTTTAAAAAGGACAACAAAATGAGGATATTGAAATGCACTGGGAGTGCATGGAGGTGTGTGAGAGAGAAAAGAACTCCAAGGTGGCTTCCAGGGTCTCCTGGGGAACTTCCTTGAGGTGTGTTTGCGTGTGGTAGATAAATTAATTCTCTAAATGTTCAGATTGCAATCGCTGAAAGGCCATCTGGGAGCTGCACTCATCTCTCCAGAGAAAGTTGGTTAGAGTGGTTGAATTACAGAGCTTATGCAAAAGCACTTTTGTAGACGTAGATGTACCGATTAAAATACTGATAATTTTTCCTATCTTAAAAAAAGAATAATAGCATTTGGCACTTTATAGCAATTATGTCACAGGTTTTATTGGCAAGGCTTCCTTTCAGAGCTTCCTTTGTTTTCTTCCAAGCCAAGATGTAGCAAATAATTATACAGGTAGTCCTTGACTTACAATCATAATTGACCCTGGAATTAAGTTCTTAAGTCTTACTGGTCATTAAATGGGTCATCATGTGACCAACCTACTTTTACAACAGTTTCTGAAGCAGTCATTAAAGGAAAGCTGCAATTGTTAAGGGAAGCCATCGTTCACAATGGGCACTTTTTTGTCAGAAAGTGGAAGTAAAACACCAAGAAAAAACATTGTAAATTGTAGTCACGTGATCATGGGATGTTGCAAAGAGCTGTGAATATGGACTGGTTGCTGAGTGCCCACAATGAAATTGCATGAGTGCAGATGGGGGAGGGGACAGACATCAAGACTTTGAATCCAAGTTATAAATACCTTTTGGAGTTCTGTTGTCACTTCAAACGATCACTAAGCAACCAGTTGTTAAACAAGGACTACTTGGGTAGCCCTTCTTTCCACTCATGTCCCCATCCAGGAACAAAAACTGAACTAAAATAAGACAAACATATGACTTATTTCCCCTTGGATATTTCCCCATATATGGAGAAAATAATTTTCCCAAGCTTTCCAAATTAATTCTATCAATGCAGCAGTTTCAAATCTGTTTCTGAATTTATTTAGGCCACTATGCACCTGTTCCTTGTAGCACTGTCCAATCTAGATAGTTTATTTCTTAGACTTTAGTATTATGTACAGGAACATATACACACATCATTTCAATCACAAAGTGAAATTTCAAACTGCATGTTCATATCTGGGCTGCTTTCTGCACCACTTGAATGGTGCACTATAAATGCATATGTCAGTGCATTGTAATCTGCTGTGGTGATACTGGAGAAAGGCATGGATTCAAATGGCAAATATGCCAGTTTTAGAAATGGCAGAGCGTGTTTACATTGGGTGGGTTCTACTTACCTTTACTACTGGTTCGCGATGGGAGCGCGTACACAGAAGCTTCTGTGCATGTGCAGATCATCAATTATGATGTCCAGGCGGGTGGGCAGAGCCGCTTTTACTACCGGTTCTAAAGAACCGGACAAAACCAGGAGCAACCCACCACTGGTTTACATGCAGAGGGTATTGAGTTCAGTATTTGACATTTTTGGATCATTTTTTTTAATTCTAAAGTACCAGAGAGCCTTACAAAACAATATTCTGCTTGACGGTGCATAGTCTACACCCAATCTAAAACAAAATACATTCCTGAGTTTCTGAGAAACAATTGTGAATAAGGCAGAAGAATGGACTTCCGTGGTCCTAAAATATATTCTTAATTCTTAGTGAACTTGAATCAACACTTCTTTTTCAATTGAAAATGTAAACATTAATAAGATTATTACTGAGAGGATAATATCAAAGCAAGGTATGCAATATCGCCATTCACATGAGGTAGAATTTTTCTTTACACTTTAATTGAAATCGCCGTGCATGGAAATGCTTCATGCCAGATTAAGGCATACACTTTCCCTGCCATTTTACCTGTCCCATTTGTGTATCTTATTTATTTATGTTATTTATTTATTTAATTGTTTTGTCAACAAGTACAAGGAAACAAGTATCAGTATAGATATAGACATGGACACATGAAAAAAATGGCACAAATAAATGGATATAAATAAGCAAAACATAGCCATAAACACATAAAATAAATACATATAAATGGGGACAGTAGGAGAGGGACGGTAGGCACACTGGTGCACTTATGCACACCCCCTTAGGGGCCTCTTACGAAATGTGAAAGGTCCACGGTAGTCAGTTTAAGGTAAAAGGTATGGGGATTAGAGAAACTAACAACAGGATCAGATAGAATGTTTCAGACATTTACTACCCTATTGCTGAAGTCGTATTTTCTGCAATCAAAATTAGAGCGTATTACATTTAGTTTGTATCTATTGATAGTCCTTGTGTTAGTGCAGTTAAAGTATTGTTCTGTAAAATTCCTTTTTCTGGAAGAATACAAAATTTATGCTGGCATAGCAGATCTACTGTGCTTTCTGTGCCTACCATCATGATGTTCCAAGGACAAATCTTCCTGAAGTTGCTGAACAAAATTCTACTTCTTACTAGACAATACATTGGTTGATGCTGCAGAAAGTACAGGTGATCCTTGAGTTACAACAGTTCATTTAGTGACCGTTCAATGTTACAACGGCACTGAAAAAAGGGAATTTGTGACCTTTTTTCACACTTAACAACCATTGCAGCATCCCCATTGTCACGTGATCAATATTCAGACATTTGACAACTGACTTATCTTTATGACAGTTGCAGTGTTCCAGGTCACGTAATCAGTTTTTGTCCTGGCAAACAAAAGCAACGGGAAAGCCAGATTCTTGTAACAACTGTGTTACTAACTTAAGAACTGCATTGATTTCCTTAACAACTGTGGCAAGAAAGGTCATAAAATGGGGCAAAGGTCACTTAACATTGTTTCACGTAGAAATATAAATTTGGCGCTCAATTGTGGTGGTAAGTTGATGACCACCTGTATATAGCTGCAGAACATCTGCAAATGTCAGGTTTCCATCAATATGGTAACTGAGTACTAATTTACTGTATCCCATACAGCATAATAATAGTGGTTATTGAACAACGTTATTTATTTAACTGTTGGTTTTAATTCTAAGCAGTAAACAAAAAAGTACAGAAAATGATAACATAAAGAAATACCAAATTGAAAAATGAACGAACATTAAAACTAACAACAATCAAAAACAACAAGCCATCAATTACGGAAAGTTCTTTGGGGGAAAGGGGTTCCTTGCTGGGCTTCGTCGGTGGGGGTGATTCAGCCCTCCATCTCCATACCCTCCATTGCTGAAGCCGTCCCTCTATACTGACAGAATAACAGAACAGAATAACTGAATTGGAGGGGACAGGACCTCAGAGGTCTTCTACTCCAATCCCCTTCTTACAAACAAGTTGTTCCCAGCATCGCCTCCGTCTGTCTGCTGTGCTAAAGAGCCAGCTTCTGGTGCAGCCCATCAAGAAGGGCAAGGCTTTGTCCTCATGAATAATCTGGCTAACCTTCTCTGCTCCTGCCTTTTCTCTGCCCTATGTGTTCTTGGATCAGGTGCAGAAGGCAGTTCCTCTTCCTCATCACTGACTGGCTGCAGCTGTGTGCTTTCCTCACCTGAAGCCTCAGGGCTGTCCTGCTTCAGCTGTGCTTCAGCCAAATCACTCAGCCAGCTGCTTGGAGCCATTGACCAACTCACTTCCTGAGGTGTCTGGGGTTGGTTCCTCCTCCTCCGAATTGACCTCTGAGAGGTGTCTGGAGAAGTATCTGGGGGAGGAATCAAAGGCTATTATTAGTACCACTTTGCTCTTTCTGGAGCTACTTGTAATTGCCCTCCGCTCTTCCCAGGTAGCATATTAGGCACCTTTTGATCTGAGGGGGTCATTTACTTGCATCATAGCTTTTAGTCTTTTGATACTGGAGAGGGTTTCCATTTCCTTCTCCAGTGGACCACATTGTGTCAGCACTCTCCACTATAACCTTTCTGACTTGGGTGGCCCTCAGCTGCGTAAGACTCTTCAACACGACAAGGCAGTGATCCATGCAGAGGCTAAAATAGATTCTTCTTTTAATTAAAGACTGAGGTCTAGGGAGTCCTCTTCCAGGCTGCTGAGATTCTCTAGGGTGGCTTCCCCTTCTTCGGGAGAATACTATGAATGACAATGATTCCTCTTTAGCCATCAGGGAAAAGAGACTCAGAATTCCTAAACGAGGATCTATTGAATGGGATCCATGACCAGAACAATGCTTCTGTCCCATCTCCAGAGTGAGCGGAATCCCCACTCCCACCCCACACATCCCCCAGAAAAGTAGTCTCTTTGCCTGTTAAAGCCCTGCCTGGAAGCAGAAGGATGCTGGAGAGGGTGACACACAAAAAGGAAAAGAATAAACAGGGTGGGTCACATCCATTTAGGACACCAGTCCGCTGCAATGAGCCTTCCCTGCTGCTTTGCAGTAAATGAACCAATTGCAGCAGAGCTTAGTTAGCCTAAGTACGTTGTCCCAAGGGCCAGGTGTCACCTTGCTCCACTCCCCAGAGCACTCCAGCACAGTTCACTCATGTTAGGACAACTAACTAGAGGGACTCCATTCCTCCCCAGCAGAAAACATCTTGTCTTTCTTACCCATGGACTGGAAGAAGGGCTAGCCTCTAAAGCCTCTGCATCCTGGTCTCAGCTATCCTCAGATTCTTCCTCCAGAAGATCAGCAAGAGAGTCCAAGTCCCACAGGCTGCTGGTCCTGGAGCCCACCAGGACTGTCAGCGAATCCTGCAAACGACAGAATGGAGGCTAAATCCTAAGCTTTCTGCATCCCAAAAAGATTGCTAAAGGATAGGGTATATTCAGGCCCTAGGTGCCTTTGCAAGCCTTAAGGGGAGAAGGATATATACCACAATTTCTCCCACTCGCATCAGGAGTTATGACATAGCCTACATTGGCCCCATTACCAAAACTTTCTTACCTCTGAACAAGGTGTTTTCTCCCCATTAAGAGAGAGCTCCTCTTCCATTACTTGATCTTCTGGATTCCGAAATAAAAATGCAAAGATTCCGTCTGTTGGCATATCAAGAAATGCATAGAGACAGGGCTTCTTCTTTTACCATGGGAAGGAGCTGTTCAGGCCTTACCAACTCAATTCAAATCTCCAAAATGGTAGACAGCCGTGACCTCCAGTGCTCTTGCTTTTCCTCTCTGGGGGGGAGAAAACAAAGGGGCCAAAGATCAAAAGTAGCCATGGGCCCTTTTTCAAGAGTGGTCATGTAGAGGCTCTAAGAACCTTTCCAGCTGGCCTGCCAAGGGGCTTGGCTTGAGTCATTATTCCTTCAGCAGAAGCAGAGGCAGAGATGCCTCCCCTCTACAAATGTTTCACACTCCGAGATGTTACGTACCTTGACTGACAGGCACTGCTTTCCTCCTGAATGTTTCTTGGGCTCTTAGCCTTCTCCATCAATCAGCATTCTTCCGATGGATTCTGAAATAACTATGCAAATATTCTGTCTATTGGCATATCAACAAATCCACAGAGACAGGGCTTCTGCCATTACCATGGTGAGGAGCTGGTCTCGCCTTAGTGACCCAAGGCAGGGGTTCAAAATTGTGGAGAGCTGCTTCTTCTTATTTCTGGGGAGAGAATGAAGGGCCAAAGATAAAAGTGGCCATGAGCCTTTTTAAAGAGGGAACACATGAAGGCTTAAAAAGGCTTGCCAGCTGGCTTGCCAAGAAGGTTGCCCTGTGTCACTTTTCCTTTAGCAGAAGTAGAGTGTAGAGATGCCTACCCTCTACAAACCTTTCGTCTAGCTCTTCTCTTTAGGGCTTCAGTGTAGCTGCCTTCTTGGGGACTTCAGAATCCCTCAGCTAAAACACTAACCTCATTAAAATGAGAGGTGGCCTGACATCTCCCTTCTTGGGACTCCGGGTGGTGGCACGAACACCCATCAAAACCTGCAAGTAACAATTGTTTATTGAAGGTATAAATTAAAAGTCCTCCCCTTGTGGTGGAATGTTGTTTGGATTCCCAGGAGAGAAGAGCTGCATTACAGAGGGCAAAGAGACAGCAGATCATGGAAAATGTGGCTGATAGGAAGAAGCTCAAAATGGCTCTTTCTTAATATTTCCCAGGATTTTTCCCTTCCAAGTCATCAAGATCTTTCGATGAATCCGAGGAGGTCTTCTTCAGTTTTCTGAGCTGGCCAGGGAATGCCTCCCTTCCCATACTTGGTTTTGAAGCATGAACGCCCACTGCCCATGTTGCAGAAGCATCCTTACCCCTGGAAAGAAAGATGTGTCTCCATCAGACACATGAAGATGTTCTCCCTGCCGGTCATCCGGATCCTGTGCCTTGTCAGTCCTGACCAAAAGAAGAAGGTGACATGTCAGAGAACATCCATCTAGCTCAGCCTCTCCTTTCTCAGCCCGGCCATTCAGTCTGCCCATCTTCTTGCTCCTAAAGCCATTTTGGGGAGAGGCTTGTACAGATTCTGCAGTCCATCAATGGTGCTCCCCATGTCCAGGGTTTGAGGAGAAGGTGGTGGTACCTGTCAGGAAGCACAGGAAGGTCTTCAATGTTGCTCTTCAGACAACAGAAAAGGCACGAACACCTCTTCCAGATGTTCTGTGAAGAGAAGAGTAATAGACTTGAGTCAGTCAGAAGAGTTAAGAAGCATGACTTTCTCCCCTATTGCCAGTTTCTTGGCCGCTGAGATGGCCACACTTACTCTGAAAAGCCTTCTGACAGCCATGACCAACTAGTTGCTCGTACTTTCATTGCACGAAGGGAGAATGGGCAACTATGCACTGCCTAGTGGCTTTTCACAGAAACTTACAACCTCTTTTCCTTGGCAACCAGGTTGACCATTTTCTATACCTACACAAAGAGGGCAGCTCACCTGGGTCTAGGAGTGGCTGGTGGCTGACTCCCTTGCTGTCCTTTTGGCTTCTGCGTTTCATGTGGGAAGTTGTCTGTTCATGAACAACAAAGGAGCACCATCGTTGTGGCAGAAAGTACAGAGGGAATCATGCAACGTCTTCCAATTAAATGTATATATTTATGTGCTACCACAGCCTGGGGGGTATCGAAGGGAAACAGAACAGGCACCACTCGAGCCTCATTTGCCCTACTGCTGCAGTGTCTGCATCACCAAAGAGACTGGCTATGTTCCCGCCTGCCTGCCCAGGGCACGTGCAGAGTCTCCAGGGAGATGAAGGGGCCACTATGTGCTCTACCCATGGGACTACTGAAGTTCTGGTCACAGCCGTGACTTTTACTCCTCTTTCAGCTCTTCCCAAGCTGGATATTTGCCAGTGAATGACAGCGAGGCTGAAGCCCTTCCTTGACTGGAATGTGGCTTGGTCATGGGAGCGAACACTGACTGGGCTGCTGCCAATGCCGCCACTGCTGCTGAGGGGCCATATCAGACATGCATTGCCTCCTGCTGTAGCCTGGCTTGGGAAAGACAAGGCAGGCCCTCCTCTCCCCTGACAGATCCAACAACTATGGGGTTTTTCCCTAATTAAATACAATTATTTAATGTTCCTCTTCTAAGTATTAATTACTAAAATTTTGTTTTTACCACAATATCTACAGTATGTTTTACTGTATATATGTATTTAAACAATCCATTCATTATAAGTAGTCCTCGATTTATGACTGGTTGCTTAATGGCCATTTGAAGTTATGAAGAACTGCTGCAGAGCTACTTATGACTTTTTAAAAGAATTATGATAGCCACATATCCCCACCTCTGTGTTCACGATTACATTTTGGATACTTGCCAATTGACTTATCCTTATGACTGTTTGCAGCATCCCGATGTTCACTTAATAACTACAGCATTTGCTTAACAACTACTGTAAACATGTCACATGATGCCTTGACTTATGACTGCAACAACTTACAATTGTAATTCAAGGCTCAATTACAGTCTTATGTTGAGGACAACCATTACTGAAAAAAGTTACACATTTTTAATGACCAGGAGAAAGACGCTGTTCTTAAAAGTCTTCTAAATAAATTTTGAAGTATTCACTGCCCTAAATGGAGACATTTCTTCTTTCTTCAGGAATTGACTTGCTAGTAACAAATATATTCTATTTTAAATTTTCAAATATCATAAACTAGGAACAAAACAAAAAAATAATTAACACCAAGTTCAAAGTAGCCAGCTTCACAGCTTGTATTTCAGATACAGTGAAATATTAAACTACATGCTTCACAGAAACAGAATAAATTCTTATTTGCTTTCAAATAAATTTCAGTTTTGCAGGTTTACTTCTAAAATGTCTATTATTTCATATAGATATCTCCCACCCACCCCAGGCAAATTCTCATTTATTTTTATATTTTAAATGCTGTTCTTGTATCCTCTCTCGGTTTATAAACATATCTAAGTTTGATATAATGCCAAAAACAGGAACAAACTGAGTAATCATTATAACTCCATTTCTGAAGGATGGGCTTCAGAGTTGTGAAGTGATTAGAGAAATTTCAAAGGAAGGTTGAAGCAAAATATTGGAAGGATTAAGTACACATAGCACAGATAATCATCAACATACAACAGTTCATTTAGTCACAGATGAAAGTTACAACGGCACTGTAAAAAATGATTTATGACCATTTTTTACACTTACGATCTTTGTAGCAATCCCATGATCATGTGATAAAAATTCAGATGCTTGGCAGCTGGTTAATACTTATGATGGTTGCCATGTCCCGGGGTTATGAGATCACCTTTTGCAACCTTCTGACAACCACCTCTATAACTCTT